TATTTAGGGGACAGACAGAATAGCTACCAAAGGAATTTAAGAAGGAGTTAATAAGAATGAATGAAGATGATTAGAAGAAATAAATGTAGGTGTGATCTTGGGCAAGTTATTTAATATCTTTAAATCTTAATATTCTCATTTGTAAAAGCCATCAAAAAAATTAAATTTTGCCATTTGCAGTGACATAGATGGTCAAACTAGAGGGTATTATGTAAGCAAAATAAGTCAATCAGAGAAAGACAATTACCATATGATCTCACTAGTACATGGAATTTAAGAAACAAAACAGGATCATAGGGGAAGAGAGGAAAAGGTAAAACAAGATGAAATCAGAGAAAGAGAGAGAAACCATGAGGTCTTAATCATAAGAAACAAACAGAGTTGCTGGAAGAGAGAGGGGTGGACATTAAGAATGGCACATGATATTATGAGCTCTGGATATTATTTAACACTGATGACTCACTGACCTCTACCTCTGAAACTTAGTACATATAAATTAGTTGAATTGGGGCGCCTGGGTGGCTCAGTGGGTTAAAGCCTCTGCCTTCAGCTCAGTTCATGATCCCTGATCCCAGAGTCCTGGGATCAAGCCCCACATCGGGCTCTCTGCTCAGCGGGGAGCCTGCTTCCCCCTCTCTCTGCCTGTCTCTCTGCCTACTTGTGATCTCTGTCATATAAATAAATAAAATGTTTAAAAAAAATAAATTAGTTGAATTTAAATTAAAAACATTAAGAAAATAAAACAAGTCTTTTAAATTGTTCATTCTGAGGCTTAAACTTGGAGTATTCTTTTCTTTCTTTCTTTTTTTCTTTCTTTAGATGAGTGAGGACAAGTGGTGGGGTTGGGGGCGGTGATGGAAAGAGGGGGAAGCATTCTCCCTGCCAAGCAGTGAGCCCAGTGCAGGTCTCGTGCTTCATCCCAGGACCCTGGGATCATGACCTGAGCTGAAGGCGGATGCTTAACCAATTGAGCCACCCAGGCACCCTACTGAGAGTATTCTTACACTATTTCTGCACATTTGTATTATTTTGTTGTGGATTCAGAAAGCGTGGCAATAGCCACAATTAAAAGTTTTTAGACAAAATCAGAAAACATTCATTTACTCTTTCTGAGCTTCAGCTTTCTCATTATAAACAACAGTAAGATAGTGTTTACATCACACTAGGATGTAAAGTCATTTAATGACTTTGAAATTTCTTTGGATAAAAGTTCAAGAGTCACAGGAAGCATCTTAAGGAAAACAGTGTACTGTCCAGTGTTTATGCTGGGACAGAAAGAGTGAAGATGGAGAAATGGAAGGGAACAGTGTTATAGTGTAGTCACTCAAGTATCATTTTCATACTACACAGGCTGTGTTCCCCCTTCCTTCTCCATGCTCTCCCTCCTCCCAGTAATTGGACCTAATAGAATCTCTAGAGGAGTAGTAAGTAAGAATAGCTTGAATTATTTCATCCATCCACATTTCCCATACTCCATCCAACCCAATCATGTTAAGAACTGATCTCATCTGACCATCTGCGACATTAGGTAAAGAAATCTAAATATAATAAGATGAAATAATCATTTTTTTCATGTTAAAAGTATTAATCTCTTGGCCTACTTTATGTATTTGCTTATAAACGGCAGAAATTCTCAGTGTGTGCCAAGCTGTCCTTACATGGTATACCAAACCTTACATGGCTCCCAAAAATGTGAATGTACATGGTATAATATTTTCCAAACTATAACAAAGAGCATTCAGCAAAAACACAAATCTGTTCCATCTATGCCATCCTCTGATTCTATGTCAAATAAGCAATCACTTTTTAAGTTTTAAGTTAACTTTTTAGTCTTTTAAGGGTTACTCTAGTAATTTGAAATGCAGCTGTTGAATTGAAATGTGTAAAAATTGTAAAATGCACACCAGATTTTGAAAACTTAGTATGAAAAAGGTAAAATGTCTCAATAATTTTTGTATTGATTACATGTTGGAATGATGCAATTTTGAATGTATTTTATTAAAATAAATACATTAAAATTGATTTTCCTGGTTTCTTTTGATTATTTTAAGAATAATTAAGATTGGTGGGCGCCTGGGTGGCTCAGTGGGTTAAGCCTCTGCCTTCAGCTCAGGTCATGATCTCAGGGTCCTGGGATCGAGTCCCGAGTCGGGCTCTCTGCTTGGCGGGGAGCCTGCTTCCTCCTCTCTCTCTGCCTGCCTGCCTCTCTACCTACTTGTGACCTCTCTTTGTCAAATAAATAAATAAAATCTTTTAAAAAAAGAATAATTAAGATTGTTAACTGTTAAAGAATTTTAAATTGTACCTGTGGCTCACATTTGTTGCTCACATTATATTTCTTTTGGACAGCGCCACTCTAATTATTAGTAAGCATGTATTTCCCTTAGTTGATGTACCAAGTTTACTCATGAGATACGTGATTCTAGTCTAATTCTCATTCTTTTATAAAGGACCAAGGTTTTTTCTGGAAAGTGTTAGGATTTTGTTATTTTTGCTATTCTGAAATTCCATAAGCATATACTGAATTGTACATAGTTTTTGTTCATTTTGCTTATTAGAAGACTTGGTAAGCACTAGTAAGCCCTACCTTGTGTTACTCTTTTTTTTTTTTTTTAAAGATTTTATTTATTTATTTGACAGAGAGAGAGATCACAAGTAGGCAGAGAGGCAGGCAGAGAGAGAAGGGGAAGCAGACTCCCTGCTGAGCAGAGAGCCCGATGGAGGGCTCCATCCCAGGACCCTGAGACCATGACCCGAGCTGAAGGCAGAGGCTTAACCCACTGAGCCACCCAGATGCCCTAGCTTATGTTACTCTTCAAGCTCTGAGAAATTTTCTACTAATATTTTTGGATTATTTCCTCCATGTTCTTTTTCTTTTTTAAAAAATTTCCTTCCGGTTTCTGAATGAGAAAAGGTTTTGTATGATATTAGACCTCTAGTATTTAAAGTCTCTGTTTTTCTATAATTCTCTTTTACATTTTCTATTTTCCATTCTGTGGTCTGTTTGGCTATGGTCCTGGGAGGAAACCTTATCCTAACCTTTTGACAGTTTTGAAAAAAAATGGGATGAGATGGGGCACCTGGTGGGCTCAGTCAGAGGAGCATGTGACTCTTGAACTAGGGTCGTGAATTCGAGCCCCACGTTGGGTGCAGAGATTACTTAAATAAATAAAACTTAAAAAAAAAAAAAACACAACCTTAGTTGTCTACAACTCTCTCTTGTTCTCTGTTCTTTTGTCATAGAAGTGTGTTCTCCCTTTATGATGGTGCTCTCTTCTTGAATATATGTGAGATTTCAAATTAGATTTGTGGGGTGTTTTGTTTTTTTTTAATTTCTTTGTCTCCTGATTTACTTCTTTGTTTTACAGTCAGTGGTTTATTTTGTTCAGGGCAGGCTTCTAGAAGTGAAACACATTTTAAGATTTTATTTATTTATTTGACAGAAAGAGAGAGAGATCACAAGTAGGCAGAGTAGCAGGCAGAGAAAGGGGGGAAGCAGGCTCCCCACTGAGCAGAGAGCCCGATGCAGGGCTCCATCCCAGGTCCCTGGGATCATGACCTGAGCCGAAGGCAGAGGCCTAACCCACTGAGCCACCTAGGTGCCCCGAAACACATTAAAATATGTTTTCCTTATCTAAAGATAAGGAAAATATCTAACCAAATGTGTAGAAGCAGAAATGCAGAAAACTTCCTCTGGGAGCAGTGATAATCTGATCATTGTAATACTGTTGACATAGTAAGATAAGGGCCTAAACTAGCATTAATACAGTGAGAACCAAAAGAAAAGAACTGGGTAATTATGCAAGAAAAGCAAGTGTAATTATGAACTGATTTCTCCACTCTAAAAACTCCCACAGCACTGCCTCATTGAACTAGTTATATTCTCCCTTGTAGTGTTAATTATTATATGCGTATGTCTTTCTAACTAAATTGTGACTCTTCAGGGCAGGGTTTATATCTGACTCATTAACTTATAAGTATTTATTGATCAAGCGCTATGCCAAGGGCTGGGAGAAAGCTGTAGTCAAAGACAAATCATCCCTGCCCTCAAGGATAGTTAATTACTTGTATCTTTCACAGTGCTTAGAATTAGATGCTAAGTATTCCCAGAGAAAATATTTGTTACTTAACCTTACTTTAAAAGGTAATATTAAGATGGTCTATTTGTATCTGTTAGGTATATTGCAAAATTTGATATTAAACTGTTCTCATTTTATTTTTTTTATTTTTTTTTAAGATTTTATTTATTTATTTGTCAGAGAGAGAGAGGGAGAGAGAGCAAGCACAGGCAGACAGAATGGCAGGCAGAGGCAGAGGGAGAAGCAGGCTCCCTGATGAGCAAGGAGCCCGATGTGGGACTCGATCCCAGGACGCTGGGATCATGACCTGAGCCGAAGGCAGCTGCTTAACCAACTGAGCCACCCAGGCGTCCCAAACTGTTCTCGTTTTAAATCGATACCAAAAAAGGCCACCTGGGTGGCTCAGTGGGTTAAGCCTCTGCCTTCGGCTCAGGTCATGATCTCAGGGTTCTGGGATGGAGCCCTGCATCGGGCTCTCTGCTCAGCAGGGAGCCTGCTTTCTCCTCTCTCTCTGCCTGCCTCTCTGCCTACTTGTGATCTCTATCTGTTAAATCGATACCAAAAATAATTATTATGCATTCAGATTGAACTAATATCCTTCACCTTATTTAAAGGTGATATAACATTGATATAATGAAAACAACCCACCCTTGAAAGAGTCCAACGTTCTAGTCATGAATTTTTATCCTCCTTATCTTCTTAGAGCCTCACTTTCTCATATGTAAAATGAAGATTAGATCTTTTAGCACTGACACTTTGAATCCCAAAGTGGAAAAATTTTTCATTCCCATAGCCTTTGAATATTGTTGTGGCTAAACCATCTAGTCTATTTAATTGAATGATTGGAAATGACAGAGAGCTGTCATTTCATGTTTTATTTGAGTTAGGATCATTTGACTAATGGTTTTTTCTCTTTTACAGATTTGGGTCTTGATCAATATACAATAAAACGCTTTGATGGAAAGGTGAGCGAACTATGACACTAATATATATATCCTGTTGTTTACTAAGAAGATTTCGAAGTTCCTCTAGAATTATTTGTGAGAAATTTCTGAATGCCTGTTTATCTTATCAAAAGAGCGTGTTTCTTAGGTTGGAAGGCCTATAAGTGCCTTCAGATGCTTCTACAGAAAAAAAAAAGCAGAAGGTTTTTCTACATTTTTCCATACAAGGTAACACTCATGGGTACCTGCTGTATATAGTGAGGTCTAATTCATTGTATGTTGACATTTGCATTTTAATTCAGTTGCCATCATAAAGTTTAACAAGCCCCCCCCAGTATTACATTTGCATTTCTTATAAAAATACTTATTTGATCTTCCTCAAACTTTGACACTATATAGCAGTAATCCTCACTAGAAAATTATATAAGTTTTTAGTAGTGCTTTTGTAATAATTATGAAGTCCACCCCAATTTGCACATACATTTGCATTATACTTTCAACTCTTATTTTATGCACAAATAAATCACATAATAAATTGTTCTTAAGTATAGAAAATGAAACTTTCAATTTTATTGTCTTAAAGCAGTCAGTTAAACATGTTTTTCCCTTTCAGGCTGAGTTCTACAAAAAGAAAAAGAAAGTATTGCAAAGGGTCAGAAAGAAAAGTAAAAGGTCAATTTTAAAGAGGAGGAAGAAAGCACATCAGAAAGAAGAGAGAGCCCAGGATGGCTCTACAAAGCTTAAAGAGAAGGAAATCAGAAGGAAAATCATGCAGTGGCTGGAAAAGGCAGGATCTCAAAAGAGGGTCTAAATGGGTAGAGGTCAGGGTTAGTAGAAACTGATCTTGCAGGAATATGTCGATCCCGCATTGTTACATAAAACTCTACGTACTGGTAAGGTGAAGATACAAATGCTAAGATCTTTTGCACAGGTGGAAAGAATGAGTGCCCATCTTAAGAGTTGAGAGATCTCAGTCAAGGCTTCCAGCCTAACAATTCCCTTTCCCATTCATATGGCCCATTGTCTCCAGCTGGGTATCCTCTTTTTAAAATCACATATTCTAAAAGAAAAAATGTTCAAAAAGATCATTGAACTAGAATATTAGGAGACAGGTTCAGAGCTGGCTCTGCTTTGGGGCAGCCACATCTTTGATTCTTGGTGTCCCTGCCTCATGTATAATCAAGTACCATATCCATGTGAAAGTTTACTTCAGGCACTGATGTCAGGGTCTGATTTCAGAATCTCTGGCAAATCAGGCCCCTGTTTTTATCTGTCTGTGTGTCACTCAGAGTCCAGCATATGTCTGCCTTACAGGAGGGCACCAATAAGCATTTGACAACTTGGAAAAATCAACTAATCAATCACATAGTCTTGGGAGATATGACTCATTAAGTCAGCAATATGTTCTAGCAAGATCAGTCTAACAAATGACAGTTTTTGGTCACTGGAGGAATTCAGAGTGGTATGAGATTTTTGTCTTCCATCATATGTATATGTATATAAACCTAAAAACACGGAAAGAAGTTGAATACATGTAAATTGAACAGCAAATTTACCTGTTACAGGGGAATTTCCATTCCTAGAGGTCTCCCAAATGTAAAATCCCTGGTGGTCACTCATGTTTCATAAATGCCAATTAAATTTTTCATTTCAGCCTGTACCTGTACACTTGAGGCTAAAAATCTGCAACTTTGGGCATGACCACTAAGCTCCGCTTTTGTTTCAGTCATTTCAGTTTATGAGCTCTATATTTCCTCCCATTAGTGTCCTGTGCATTTTTCTGATTTCCACGTATTTTTATAAAATAACAGAAGTAAACTGCGATAAAGCATTATAAACATTTGAGTGCCCACCTTGCTGTAGAGACCAAAACGGCAGTACTTCTTTGTTTGGAAGGCAGACTTTGTGACAGATTGTAGTGCAGATGTTTGGGCTCTGAAGTATAAAATTTTGAAATGGGAGTAGGAAAACAGAATTTAGGGATCTCAGCGTATAATGTTTGAAAGTATGACTTATATGAAATTCAGGCAAATGAAAGTTGTCTTTATGGTACCAGGGGAACGGGTTCTGCAAGAGAATAGAGGAATGGCAGACTCGCATAGGGGTAGTATAGAACTGAGCCAGCTTCTCCCCTAGCAGAGAGCGCATGGATTTTCCTTTCATCCATGTTATGATATGCATATTTAATCCCTTTGCCAGGTACTTCATTTAAATACTGTATTAATTTCCATCAAATAGATCCTGAAGGTTATGTTTCTTAAGTAGGGTTTTTAAACCGAGTTCATCTCTAGTTTACGTCTTTATGAATAGGCTTTTATTTCTTATGAAGTTTAAGAGAATAGTTTCTCTGCTATTTTTAAACCTTGTATAATGAGGAATACAACATTCATTTAGGGTTGAATCAGTTTAGAAGTTTTTCCAGGGATTTTTGCCCTCTATCTGTGATATTTGTGATAAGGATCAGTGCTTATTCAACTGTCGATCTTATTATTTTCCTTTTATCTTTATATCTCTCATTCTCTCAGTCAGAATATCTTAATTCTTAAGTAGCAGCTTCTAGAGTATATAAATCATAAGACAGTTTCCTCTTGAAAAAACCGATTTGTGTAGTATTTATAATAAATTTTATGTAGGATGCCCAGAAATTTAGTCCAAGGCTAATACCCTAGAGGAATTTCCTTTTAAGCTTGCTTTGATTTTTAAATGAGTCATTTTCTCTCTCTTGTTTTAACTTGAAAGATAAACTAGTTATGAACTACTTATCGTCGTCTTATCGTGTCTTCTTATCGCCTCCCATTGTTTTAACTTTTAACACACCATTTAATAAAGTGCATCATTTGACCAGTAAGTAACACTGCCGTATTTTATTATCTTTTAATTGAATTACAGTTTAACCTTGTTGTCATTGAAAGTAAGAACAAATGTAGAAATAGTATCATTTTGCAGTTTTCTCATTTGTGTTTGAATTTCATATAACCTCTAAATGCAAAGTAGAAGGCCCAACTGATACTGAGAAATAATTGGACAGTTATTTCTTGTTTCAGTGCCTCTCATCTTTTCTCTTCTTTTGTTTGACTAGAAAATGCCCTTAAATAAAATGAAACATTCCTGTTTCAGCTGATAGTGAAACTGAATTTGATGAAGCAGCGTTTGAATTTCGGGGGAGGATCTTTTTTCAGAGCCCATCACTACCTATGTTAATGTACACTAATTTTTTACTCTCAGTAGCAGTTTCCTTTGTAGAAAAGTCATGAAATATGTTATTATTGGCACTTTCATCATTTATGCATTTCAAAACTATCTACTAACACAGGCCTTGTTTAAAGAGGCAATAGTGTCCCTTCATTTTAAGAAAATGCTTTGTAGATTGGTGATACTTTAAAAGACATTCAGACTAGGTTTTGAAAGTTCAAAAACCTCAAAGCTTGAAAGTTCAGATTTTCTCTTAAAGGGTATTTGACTATCACTATAGAGTACTAGCACTATTATACAGATGGTAATACAAAATACAGTCTGGCTTTTGTTTTAGTGTCATATATCATAGATCTTTTTAAAAAAAATCACCCTCCCCTTGTAATGTCTGTGCATTCTATGATTTGTTAATGCAGTTACTTCGTGAAGTTTAGGTTATTTCTTTAATGAAAACTATGTTTTTTTCTGGGTTTAATTTTTTAATCACATAATAAGTGGTCTATAAAATAAAGCATCATTTGTAAGTGGAGCCTTTATAATACATAATCATCAAACATTTCTTTCATTTAATGATTTAGTTGCCTTTTTTATTGGTGTGGCTTATCTCAAGTTGTTATACCCTTTATTTTCCTGTTTTTCTTAGCCCTCCCTTTTTTCCCTTAGCATATCAAAGATAGAAATTGTTTTCGATTTTCTATTCCTGTTGTATGTAATAGACAACACTCTCTGGACCAGACATTTTTTTTTTTAAGTTACAGCAGAAAACTACATAGTCTAGGTAAAATTGTTTCTTAAGCAACTAATACCTGTATTCCAGAATTCTGACTTCTCTCCTCTGAAAACTTTATAAAGCTCATACTCTTTGTCAAGTAACAATGAATCGCCCATTGAAACTAAATTGTTGACTGTTAACATTTTACCATGTATTTCTTTTTCAGAAGATAGATTTTGTAATGCTTCCTTCCCTATCAAATTCCCTTTTCCCCCAACCACTCCCTGAACATGTCAGAAAGCTTGCCTCTAGTCTGCATTTTTCGTTACTCGTATTTACAGTACCCTTAGAATCTTTCCAGTGTGGAAGAAAGAGTTAATGTGTGTTTCATTCCTCTCTCTTTTATGATACCTACAAGAATATTTGTATACATGGTACAGAAAAAAGGTTTTACATCAAATTAAAATGACGTTACTTTTAAAAAATGACATGGTCCACATTCAGGTGAAAGAGATGAAATTATGGTCAAAGCCTAGAAAGGGAAGTACTGATTACAGTGTTTATAACAGAAAAAGTTACCGGCAGAAAAAAAAAAGGATGGGAGCCATAGTTAAACGTCAAAGTTTTAATATAACCAAATGCTTTAATTGCTTACCAGGTAAAAGTTCTTTAAAAAATATTGATAAATGAACTTTAAAATGATATTCCCCTAAGGGGAATGTGAGCATATTTTTCCTTATAACATAATACTCTTAATGCTTTACTTAAGTTGTTTATTTACTTCATATCATAGATAAGATCTTAGTATAGAATAAAGGCAAGTATATTACTTCTTGACATGCATAGTAATGTGAAATGTATTGTAGATCAAGGAAATGTAAATTAGGAGAGGGGAGGGACTGAAATTTCCTTGGGACAAGAGTTTGATGAATCTTCACATTTATTTGAACTGTTCTAATTCTGCTCACATTTATATAGCAGGTTATGTTATGAGTTCTGCATTGTTCCCTAAGCATATCTTCCTTTCTCTTTCAGTTTCCAAAGATGAAACTAGTCAAGTCTAAATTCTTGTTGAATTCATGTATTTGTTCATGTTTTTCTATTAATAAATACATAGACAGAACTATATTATTTTTTTCACCATGTTTCTGTTTTTATTTGCACTACCAATTCCATCTTCACAATAGAGTATATCACCTCTGTAGTCTTTCTTTTATAGTAGGGAAATTCTTGTTTTAAAAAAAGGTATAGCAGATTCTAAGAGAATGCATAGGTTTCCCCCACTGTCTAAAAGTAGAGCATTTCTATGGAAGCTTTCATTAAGCTGAAACAGCATAAAGCAAAAGAACTATTACCATTTTCATAAAAGTAAAAATCCTCTTTGGATTTTTCTCAGCTAGCAAAAACACGTATCAGTATAGGTCTTTCATAAAAAAGAAGTGGTATAAAGCAACTTTCATATAGCAGAGAACCTATAATTCCTGGAAGCTTGACGTTCTCCATGTGAATTTCATATTCATGTATTTATTTTAAAGCTAAAGATTTAGCCCATTTTAAAAACCACATTAACATATTCACTCATTGGTTGTCAGTTGTTTATTTTTACAATTTAAAGTAAACTCTCTAAATGAAAAACACTTGACTCTGTTTGCCCCTTCAGGAATTATTACTAATAATAACTATGAAGAAGAAGAATAGTTGAAGCTTTCTGAGGGTTTATCACCTGTTACACTCTTTTTTTTTTTTTTTTTTTTTTTTTGGTTTTGGTTCCATGTGCAATGTGGGGCTTGAACTCATGACCCCCAAGATCAAGATTCTCATGTTCTGTACTGAGTCAGTCAGGCACTCCCACACATTGTTTTAAGTGCTTACATATAACTCATTTAATCCACACAGCCACTCTTTCAGATAGCTTACTACTTTTATCATTATTTTACAAATAAAAAACTACGTAATTAAGTAACTTGAATTTTTTGTGTGTGGGCCTAAGATCATATAAGCTAGTGGGTAGTAGAGGTATGATTCCAAATTTGTAGTCTGGCTTCAGAGTTCACTGTCTTAAGTACTGTGATATCTTATTTGTATATCTAAGGAATTTGTCTATATGATCTATTTGTAAATAGGAATTTCTCTTGTTGAGTAGTCATTTTAATACCTTAATGCCATTTGTGCAAAAGAAAACACCTTGGTATTTCACTTTCTTTTTGCTAAGCATGTTGAAGTTAATTTTTTCTGCTTTAGTGAAGTACAACTAGAAACCCCTATTAACTTGAGAAACCACATAGTGTTTTTAAAGAAAGAAAATATAAGGAATATATAAATTTTAATACTTAAATTTAAGAATCAGAATTTCAACTTCACTTTTATTTGCTCCATTATTTTCTCTTACACCACAAACACCACAGGGCATTTTGAAAAATGCTTGTCTTTTCTTTTTACTGAAACAATCTCTTAAAGTGTGAATTGTCATCTGTATCTGAAAAATTGGATCCTGGCTCATTGTCATCAAGATATTAGAGAAAATAATGTTCCTGTTACAAACTATACTTTCAAATATTGATTGGTTGTATGTTGGATGTAGCATCCTTTGAATAGGGCCACTTACTGTAGTGAGTCTTTAAACAAGCAAAAGTTTAGAATGTAATTGCATTACCAAGGAACTCAACATTTCTGCTTCAGCATTTCAGGAAATCCTTGGACACCTGTTGCAGTTTTCTGTTTTCCTTTTAGTCTGTTTGTTCATCTTTCTTCTTTCTCATCCATAGTTCTCTAAATTATTTTTAAACCATTTTCTCAATTTTTTCTCTTACAAATTAGCAAATTTAATTCTTTTTTAACACACTACATTCCTAAGAAAATCTGGCTTTGGTGTCTCAAATATTTTCCAAGGGATTTCCATTTTGAGCATCTAAGTATTGGACAGATGTGTGAATTAGTAGATGTTGTAAATATGCTGAACTTGAGTATGAAAAATACAACATTATGGATTGCTGTACTTCTTAGTATGTAATAGCACAGGATGAAAAGAGTGTGACTTTGGATATGACAGTTCTATATTCATAAATGGGCTCTGCCACATACTTGATAGGTAACCTTGGATAAGAGACCATTTAACCTCTAGTATCAGTTGTCTTCTCAGTAGAATCAGGACAATATGGTAAAGTATCTGGCTCCACAAATTATAGCTACTTTCCGTGACTTTGAGCCCTTTACTCAGTTTATAAAAGGAGTTTACTGCTGTCATACATATTATCCTCTTGGTTTATATGAAATGCTACAGAATAACATCTCCTCTGCCTAATTGCTCTCTCCATGCTAGTTAAATCAGCTATAAAAATCTCCTTGACCTCTCTATAAGAGCAGTTGGCTGGGATTAAATAGCTAGTCCATGAGCTAAAGAGAGACCTGTGGTTTGTTTTCTCATATATGTTTTCTCATATATGAGCTGTCATTTGTTCACATTTGTGTTGTAAAATCCTCTGGGCCTCTGTCACATCAATCCCAGCCTTAAGTTTGTAAGTTGCTAATAGCATATATTTCTTAGTCAAGAACTTTTATCACTCTGCTAAGCTTGTTTTGAAAAGTATGGTAAGTTTGAGTTGAATTTTATTTCGCAGTGAAATTCATTTGTTGAAAAAAAAATCTTTAAGCCCATTTAATAGATGAAGATATTTTGGAGTGGTGTGCCCAGCTAAATCAGCTAACCTACACTGCTTAATCACATGCCATCCTCCATGGTGGCTGGCTTTTTATCACTAATGTGAATAGTAATTCATTTAGTGAACATAATTTTGCAGGAGTCCTGTTTTTAAGTGGTCATTCTGAACTCTTCGAGTAGTTACTAATCCTTTAAATAGATCTGAGTTTGGTTGCCTGTATTTTATTATGGGTGGTAAATCAACAGATTTGTCATGAAGTTTAAAAATATTATATCCATGAGACATCCTAGTAGGAAACCTTAATTAAAGAAATGCTTTGATTTCCAATGACGGAAAATGAAATGTTGCTTTCCCATTTCTTTTAGAAACAGATTATTATTCATATGTTTCCTTTTTATAGTATTACGAAGTTTTTCTACTGTTGTGTGTTTCATTTGGGGGAATTTAGGAATTGAGGTGTTGGGGTTTTTGTTTTATTTTACCTAGCAGATAATATATAAAACATTTCTATGTATTCTTCATTTTCTGTTTCTAGGTGTTCAGTGACTTTATTACAGATCTAAATTAGTCCTTATATGTTATAATACTTTGTGATATATATGTCTGATTTTTGGAGTTTTTGTTCATGTAATCAAATGATGTCCATTTTTTTTCTTTTTCTCATCTTCTGATCAGGATTTCTGGCAGGTACTGACTCAGCAGCATGTGCTTTAAATTAATTAATGTTCCAAAATCCATAGTAATGCTTCAGGGACAAAGGTTCAGTGCATGCTCATGTCCTTCCCCTGCTCCTTTCAGAATGATTCAGTTCCTGTCACTTTAAATCAACATATTTTATATTTAATATGACAATTCCAACACTGCACTGGTCCTTGAGAATATAATACCTAGCATGATTTAAAAGGAAGTTTTAACAGTATGTGTTAGGAAGGTCAAGGAACTGTTACCACTGTCCACTGTGTTGTATAAGGGATACTCAGTTAACTGGGCCATTTGACTAGTCTTACTTAGTTGGATGTCATGTTCTTAGTTAAACTGTAACAGGAATGGTGAGGCAGCAGTAATTTCAAGTGAAAATTAATCTTCTTTCTTTTGAAATTTCTTCGATGATACAATACCAATAAAGTAGCTCTTCATTCAATAAAATGGCTTCACAGGAAACGGAACATTTAGAAAGACTGCATTATTTAGCTTTTTTGAGCTAATCAACAACTTTACCTTGGAAAAGTAAGCAAATACATGAAGAAAATAATGAAAGAGAATATATAGATTGTAATCTGGCCAAGGAGAATTTCACGGATTGGCCTAAGAAGTACTTTTTAAATTGATTGTTGAAGACTTAGAATCTTGAATTATAATTTATAAATTATTAAAATATTTATTTTTAAAAAGACATTACTCTTGTATTGCTTAATAGAAATAGAAACTAAAATAAATTAGCATATCTTTGGTTTTAAAATAATTAATGATATAATTAATGATAACACAGTGTGCTTTTTATTTTTATGTAACATTTTTCCTATGCTTCCTTTTTTTAAAAATGGGATATATTTTTAGTAGTCTACTTACCAAACCCCAAACCAATTGTCCTGTTATTGGTGCAGTTGATGAACTTTTGCCTTTCACTGCAGTCTGAAACAAACCAATGAATATTTGAATAATTATGTCAAAATAACTTATTGATAATCCCGGTATCAATGTTTCTAAACCTGGAGATGACACTTTAGAATAGCTGTGGCACAACCAGTCTATGTGTAGTGCTAAGAAGAGTAAATCAGATAAGATACTTAACACCTGTGATTGAGTAGGGCTGCTTCTACTTCTGTAATTGTGGCAGGACAATTTGTAGGAGGCATATAAAAACTCTTCCTTTCCTTTGATGGTTGTATGGCCTAAGGCTTGAAAATTTAAAATGACCTGCCTCACATAGATACCCCTATTAGAGAATGAGAAGAGAAAAGAGGTAGGAATTGATTAAGTGCTTTGAAGTCTCTGGAATCTGCAGCATTGGGTAATCAGCCACCATAGTTGACAGAAGAGCACTGGTCTTTAAATTTTGACCCTCGAAGGTGATATCATTTGTTGAGTAAGGATTCAAAGTCAAGTTTTACTATTTTATTAAGAATATCTTGTGAATAAGCTTTTTGTATTGAAAATAAGAAACTTTTTTTTCATAGACTAGGTAATAGGGGATTGGTTATCTTTATCACTGCAATATCACTCATTTTGGTGACACTAGCATAAATCCTTTAAGCTTCCAAAAGTCAATGAGCAGTTACTTTATAGAAGAGAGCTTTCTTGCTTGCTTCCTTAACAGGAATTTGTCCTTTGCATGCTAAGTTCCTATTGCCTGTGGAAAGGCTGGAATCATTTTGTTTTTCTGGTAGCATAGAGCTCTTCAGGTGCAGCTTATGAATGGTGTGATATAATTATATTGCTGTGTGGAGTTTTCATAATGTCTCTTTCCAGTCTCTGAGTTCCACCACTGCTAAAGTCTGTTGATTTAATTCATGTGTTTGATTATTCAAGTTTAAAAAAGAAATGATAATCATTAAGTGCTCCTAAGGAGGGTGTAGTTTACTTGGTTGTCACAAATATTCAGACATCTATTGATATGCTTTCTTACATTTTTATTTTACATTGTTTTATTTGAACTTGGGGCCAACAACCCATTTGATTTATCATTGTTGATTTGAAAGCATAAACATGACTACACATTATATTTCTAACACCTTCATGTTTCACTTTCCCATCATGAAACAAGATTTGAAATACACTTTGACATGGGAGGACTTGGTTCCAGGTAACTTCTTTGTCTTATCTTAGCATAAATACATATCATGTTCTGAGGTTACACAAAGGAAAGATACTCAGAACATTTTATTTCTCCTGTTCCAATAAAAATGGGTTCTCAACTTAGCCTAAACATCTGTTGATGATCTTTGATTGCAGAGAATGTGTGAGGATAGCTTTTGCTTTGCCTATTTGTCTTTGTCATGATGCATTTTTTTTAAATCCCAAACTTAAATAAAAAGATTTTCCAGTTACAGATTAGTCTAACATCTATTAATTAAGAAGAGCATAAAGAGCCATTACATTTTTGAAATGATACTCATTTTCAAAATGATTAAAATACACATTTGAACAAGTCAAGGCATAAAAATACATTGTGCACCTACATTGTTAACTAGACTTTCCTCTTCAAGATAACCGAGCTGATACAAGCTAAGCCCCAGGATTAATATTGTACAATAGTGAACTCTTGTTTTGCTTTGAAAATATTCAGCCCTCATTAAGGATGACATCTTAATTTAAATAGTAAACAGTTTCAGAAGTTGGAAATAATTCTCTGCATTTGATACAATATAACATATAATGGTTCTGGAGTCAAACTATGACCTATCCTGCCATTTTATAGCATCGTAAGCTACCACTACTTATTTAATTCCTCTATACTTCAGTTTTCTCTTCTGTGGAGTGCAGATAGTAGTATTACGTATCTCATAGGATTGCAGTGAGGGCTTAAAGAGGTGCATGTAATTCAAGTGCTTACTTAGCACAGTGCCCAGCATGAAATATGCAAACTATAATTTTTAAATTCTTAATATATCCTTGATGGTCAGTGGTGTTCAAGGGATACCTGTAAATGTTCAAAGTGATGTAAAAATTCTTCATCTTAAGGCCTTCCTGGGAAATGGTAGTTATTAGAACAGTGTCGAATGGTTAGTGATCCTCAGAGGGAAACTCTCAGTTTTTATGAAGTGATTTTTTTCTTGTAATAATTTTTTCCAAATGGGAGAGAGTAGATGCTTCATTTACTGACTTTTCAAAATTTTTGAGGTGGTTTTTCCATGAACAGGGAAGCCTTTTATAACCCATGTGACTGAAACCGAGACTGCTGCTGAGCCCACGACTGAGCTTCTCTTCAGTGCTGAGCCTTCTCTTCAGTGCTGAGCCTTCTCTTCAGTACTGATTGATTTGAGTGGCCAGAGTTCAAAGTTAAATTCTTAGGTTTAGGTAGCAAATAATCAATAACAGTAAAACATAGATTCTCCCACCCACTGCTGCTTTGAAGCAAGTATGCGGGCATAATGTGGTAGGAAATAATAGAGTTGACAGTTTTCCTTTTCTAAGGTTTTGCTAACACCTCATCAGATACCAAAGACTGAAATAAATCCCTTCGGTAATGTTGTCTCACTTCCTTGAAGTGAGTGTTATTCCAGGAGACTTAAAAATTTTTAATCACTGCTTTAATCAAATCTTCTGCCATCCTTTTTTTTAAGCATCTTCATTGTGTCCATTTTCTCTATAGCCATCTAGTTTTAATGAACTAGGAAAACATTTGCATGATAGGTATTTGGAGTTGTTCTCAGAGCTAAAGTGGTTAGAATTGGGACTGAAAAGAGAATGGCTTTCTGGCAGCGTGAGGTTTACGGTATCTTAAGCATTCACCTTCCTCAGTTTGTTGCACAGTCATTTCTGTTTGTCTGTCTCAAATGCTCTATGACTTTTGAAAAGGTTGCAAACTTTGAGTCAGGAGATGTCCTAAACTACTCTAAATTAGAAACTTCTTAATTTTATCTGACACATCCTCAACTCCTACCTTTCTGCAAGTTCAGGTATGGGAAAGGGAAGGAAGAATACGTTTTTAACTGTGCAACATTTTCTGTTTCATTGGGAATAGTGTGATTGTTTAAGATGGATATCTTACCAAGGCTTTGGCATCTATGCACCAATTAAATAATGAAGTATGAGCATTAATTGCATGGGGAAATTGCCGAATTTTCTAACATGCTTCCCCTCCCTGCCCCAACCCCAGCCTTATGTAGAAATACTTTTTGTCATTTGGAAATGATAGGTCAAAATTGCATTTTCTGGAAGAAGTATATTATTATTATTACCTTGCTTTCGAAGTACAACCTCAAGTAGTTCTTAAGGGATTTAGATAGACTTTGAAATGTATGTCCATCATCTAGGGAAATGTTAATTTTAAAACAATCCAGTTTTCTCAGTCTCATAAAGGATGACATCTTAATTTAAACAGTAAAGCTGTGTTATCAGGTTTTTCTAGAAACCAGAGATGATTTGAGGTTCTAGATGTTATATTAGCTTCTGTTTTGCTGGCATAGTCCACCAACTACTATTTGATAGAAAGTTAATTTCAAACTGATTGAAATTTTATCAAAATTGAAAAATGGGTTTTAAACTAGAATAAATAATGGGATTAAACTCCTAGATAGGATTTTTCTTTTTGGCTTCATCCTCTTGAGTCTTAAAAGACAAAATTATTGGCCCTATTTTGATCAACCCTGTTAAAGTTAGGATTCACTGAGCATATTGAGTATTAATGAATTTGAATCATGATGGGAACTCCCAGTCCCAAGAAGGCTCCTGATGGCACCTGGAACTTTGGCAGTGTTATACAAGTTTATGTGATTAGTCAGAAACCAGAGCATGGATGCTTTAGCACAAAACCATCCTGGTAAAACAGTTCAGTTTTTTTGTTTGTTTAAGTTATTTATTTTAGAGCAGCATGCACATGAGCAGGAGGGGGCGCGGAGAGAGAGGAGAGCGGTGAGCCCAGTGTGGGGCTCAGTCTCAATGACCCCGAGATCATGGCCTGAGCGAAACCAAGAGTTGTGTCCTTAACTCACTGAGCCACCCAGGTGCTCCAAACAGTTCAGTTT